TTCTCCGCGTATCCCATATGATTTTCCTTCGTCCCATGTGTAACATGAATACAAGCCAGTTTCCCTTAGAACGTCCTTCACGAAGGTATTTCTCCCTTTATATAGATAATCCTCGTATGTTTTGCTATATTCAAGTAACCTAATTTAATCTATTATGTATTCATATGTCAGACATATAGAATCAAGAACATACTCTAACTATTTCCATACTCTACTTTATCTTTGCCGAAGTGTTGTTCATTGAATATTTTCTTTGTTCTATTCATGAATTTTGACTAAACAAAATGGCTACTCTACTAGAAACTCACAAATGTTTGCCACTTTCGTTACTAACGGTGATACTTTTGAACACTACTAACATCAATATTTTCAGATATAGCAATCCAATAACATTTAATTTAAAAATGATTCAATAGCTTTTCATTCCATAAACAATGTAATAAATTATTGTCATTTTAAATACATTTCTACTGGGAACATCATAGGACGCTTCTTGTCATTACAATTGCTATTGGTTTTTAAAGGTAATTTTCTCTCCTTTTGTTCTTGGAAAATATCTTTAAACATTTTGCTTGCTCAAATTAAAAACAGAAAAAAGAAAAAGAGAGTTCATTTTCAGGGATCTTAATTATTTACTTCTATCAGGAAACAAGTAAAATCGGCAATGTTTGGTTGGAACGACAGTTTTGAGCATATCTGGATTTACATATATTTGACAAATAAAATACGAAATGCGCTAGTTTTTGAAAATAAAGTAAAATAAAATCAATTCTGTTGTCACTCGCTTTGGCTCACAGTGATCACCTGCGAACAGGTGCCGGTTGTAAAAATTGTTATTGGTGCCGGTTTATTGCTGAATCGTAAGTTTGATATACCTAACGTATTTCTCTCAATTTAAGAATATTCTTGAGTTTTAACTGTTTTCTGTTTTTGTTTTTCAAATAATAGAATTACGGTAAAATTAAGTAACGACTTACAAAAGAAAAGTTCGAGAAGTTTAAAAAATTATGAAAAACTAAATGTAATCTATACTTATATATGTAGGAAGATATTATAATGTATTTCTCCCACTTTCTTGGCGTGCCTTCGTGGTGTAGTGGTTCTGCACATTGGGCCGGTATTCATGACGTCCGTGGTTTGATTACCGGCGAAGGCGTTTGCTAATTTTACATCTTGCCTGCTTACAAAAAATCCTAATGTCTCTACATATAAACAGACAAATTCACATCGACAGTTTGAAAAATATGTGCCTCTTCGGATAATCCTTGAAAATGTTGAAGAAGGTAATATGTTAAAAATCCGAAGTTTATCATCAAAATCTAGAACATACGGTCTTTAAAATCGAAAATTTAAGAAAATATTAATTATAATATTATTGAAAAATAAAAAAGAGCTTATTATTTTTATTTACCTACTATGAGCATCTATAATCAAAAAATTAATTATTTTGACCTTAATACAATCAATAACATATTCGTACTTTATTACAATGTAAAATTACTGAAAAGTTAAAATATTCGCAAGACGACTTTTGAAAAGAAACAAAAATTCTCTTATTGGCGCACTCTAATTATTTGCCACTCTTTCGCTCTCACTTTATTTGCCATCTGTTTCGCTCTCACTTTAAAGTTCATGAACATAGTAACTACGTGTTTCAGAAATTTCAGGGATTTTTTCTATACAGATAAGCATCATAATATAAAACAAACATACCTTTGAATATTAACATCCTACATTTCATGTGACATCATATAAAATAGCTTCCACACCCTCGAATTTTTTTTATTTAAGTAGGAAATAAATGAATGAAGAACATTTCATGCAAAGTCACGCACAAGGAACAAAGACTGCTTATCTGCATTTCCTATAAATAAAGCTTATCTGCATTTTTACGTGTGTAATTGTATTGTCAGGATAATAAGGGAATAAGTTTAATTCACTGGCTAAATAAAAGGTAACAGTTTTCCGTTTATTTCAAAATTTAGAAATCTCTTACATTTTTACCTAAGCAGCATGTTAAATTTTGCGAGAACTTCCAAAAACGATTTTCGAGGTAACTATATAAAAGGAATCTTAGTACAAAAACTGATTTCGTCTCCATTAACGAAAGAATTCCCCCCCCCAAGCATTATTACATTAAAGAGCTTAAGTAGCTCTTCGACCGTCACTGTGAGATAAAACTGCTGCATTAAACCTGATGAAAACGATCGATTAAATATCTTTACTGAAAGCACGTTCTTTGGTAAGTGTAAAGGCATTTATTCCTCGTTGATACTTTAATATTTAAAAACGCTTTACGATACCTAAATATTATTTATGCTTTAACATATTTCTCTACTTAATTTTTACTCTATTCTGTAATGGTGAGAAACTGAGAAGAAGCGTGTTTAAGAAGTAATAGAAATGAAAATTGTAATAGAGCACATAACTCACGTAACTTACATTTTCTCCTCCATTCTGAAATGACGTTTTGTTTCAATATACGAAATGCTGAAGAAAGATTTCCATGTTCCATTTCCTTAAAAATATTTCTCTAGTACTCATCTAATTATGCGATTCTTCAGAAAAGGTAAAAAGAAAATATTTAGAGAAATGGTTTCAACACTATGAGCATAAAGGTGCTGTAACTATATAATTTGACGTTTTATCTGAAAACACAAACTACAGTATGTAAAACTTTCATTAAGCTTCATTGATTTAAATATGATAAGGTCCTAAGAAACAGTGGTTAGAATTACTGGTTCACAAAGTGCGATTCTTAATGCACAATGAAATTGTGACGTCAAAACACGGCCAAAACTTGCTTCAACCGGAAATTGAACAGTAAGTGTTCATACTATCGATGGATTCCATGGTAACTCAGCTACAGAAGTTATTAACCTCTCGGGAATTTCAATTTAGGCTTCATATGCTGAATGCTTATAAATTTATGATTAATGTTAAAAACATGAAAAATAATACGCAGATGACTAAGAAAGGGCGGTGTAGCGTAAATAACGTGGCAGTTAGTAATGCTGACATTAATGATGGCAGCAATGGGTGATTAAAAAAAAACTGTTTCACCCGTTGCCATTATTGAGCACATTCAAAATTTTATTAAAAACAGATGGGATTAAAAATGTAGTTAGTATAAATTTATGCGCAACGTATCTCTTATGTATGTTGAACTACATATTCGAAAAACTGACAGCTTGAGTTTTATAAGAGATACATTCCAAGTAAATTTATACACATAAAGAATTTTTTTTTATAATTTTTCTACGCATATAAAGAATATTAGTACTTTTAAAATACTAATTCGGTTTAAAATAAATTCGGTCTAAAATAAATTTATAACATCAATAATTTATTATAGCAGTTTTCCTAAATAACCACATATGATACTTAGATTTTGAAAATTAAGGTGACTTGAGCTTCGATCTCAGATGAGAATTCTATCCGGGTAGGTATTTAAGCATGAGAATTAAAATAAAAAATGTAAAAGTATTACATTGCATTCATGTACTTCAATTAAATATGAAGATACTTGCAAAGTTATCATTTTGCCTTTTTTTAAATATTCGAAAAACTAGATCAGCTTTTCGAAAAACTAGATCAACTTTTCCTATTTAGAGTCTTCTAAATGTAGGTTTATAGTTTATTTGCGTCATTTTCACTGCAGTATTGATTTCAGTAACACAAAAGAATTTCAAAAATACAATTAAGAATTAAGAAACTATTAAAATAATTTAAACATTTTATTATGGTAATTTATTGGCTTACAACAAATAAAATTATCGTAATCTAATAAGCATGTCACAGAAAACATTCTCATTTAATTCAGTAATACGTCACTGTAAATAAATACCATGGCATTCTTTTGGAAATACATACGATTATAACCGCAATTCATCCTATATCATTTGACAAATATGTTGTTTATAAACACTTACAGGAACTCAGTTACGTCCCCGTATACAAGATTACTACTCAATGTTTACCTTCTTAGTCGTTCTTATACAGTATAACAAGTGGTTCTTTTCTATACAAACGTGGAAGGAATACATCTTTGCATAGGTTTAGTTAAATCAATAAAGTTTTATATTTTGTTTGCGTAGATAGAAAGTACTTCCATTAAATAATTTTAAATCAATAAAAATAAAAAAATACATGTTTAGTTTTAGGAACAATGGAAATAAGATTTATTTTCAAAGTTCTGTTTTGCTTGAAATAGAAATATTGGATAAAGACATTTAACTCAATTATAATCAAAGTTAAAATAAAGCCGAGTAAAAAAATAAACAAATATAAGTAATATAAAAAAATAAATACAAAATTACTTGCCTTACTTTATTTGTTCACAAGTATTATAGTAAATATGTAATTGGTTTAAAATGACAGTTCGGATATTCGGACAAAATAATCATTTATAAAAAAATCTGTTATAAAATTTTTTAAATAAGTTCCAATATTTAGCATACTCTGCTCAATATCTTACATAAAGAAATTAATAGTGTTTATGATGCAATTAGACTCTTTTCAGGAATAGTAAAATAACACATAATTCTCATGACGTAATTGCATCGAAATTTTTTCCAACACTTTATGACAAATTCTTTTTATGGAACTTACGGCGTTGAAAGAAAAGCCGCGATATATAATTTAATATTTTTTAATTTTTTGAGCATACAACCCAAACTTCTCCTTTGCAACTATATTAGTATCTATGACGCAGTTAGATGTTTTAACTGTGTCAAAGGCCAAAATTAAAATTACAGAGAATAAACCACCTACATTAGTAATTTTGGAAAACTCACTCTCAATTTTGGTTTGACATAGCATGTTACATTTTACCTGCGCACTTGTCATAACATTCCACACCCTACACCAAGAACCCTCATCGGTCATTCGCCGATCACAGTTCTACACGTACCATCTCACTGGCCAAAAGCAAGAGCGCTAACTTAAAACATGCAACTTTTCATACATGGTACTTCGTAATTAAAAGCTTTCCAACTTACTTCGGATCCTGTTGAACCGGGAGGTTGTTTCTGGACTTCGGATGTCTTGCAGTGACACGAAATCACTGGGAGGGTAAAATCCAGAAAGGGACCTTGAATGCGAAGAGCAAATTTTTCCAACTTACTTTGCTCTCTGGAATCGACCACTGCAGTGGTTCACGCGCACCCTCTTTGGCGCAGGATCCCCAGAGTTTGACCACTAGGGGGCGAAAATTCGCTTTTCCGCAATACATGGCACCTTTACATCACCGAATCCCCTGCTCAATGTTTTTGTTGATTGGAGATATGGGGTTATTTATTTCATCAGAGCATCCACTCAAGTTATTGTTAGTTTGCTAGGATGATGATGATTTTCCCCAAGTGGATGACCTTTCATTTATTTATTTCTTGTTTTTAATATAGATTATTTGAGCTCGTGGACTTACAATCAATCGGTCTATAGCAGGGGAAAATAACTAATTTTTCACCATTTCAAGAAACTTGTAAAATTTTCCCTAATAGTTATTCTACTGTTCATTTTCATGTCTCTGGACTTTAAATGTTACTATCAAATTTCGGAATATGATTTTCAGACTTAATATAACATATCTCGATGGGAAACTCATATTTGCTTTCATTAGTAACATTTTCCCCTCCAGATTTAAAATCTGAACACTAAAGATTCTCCAGCTTTAACATTTAAAATTTGAACCGCTTTATTTTTCCATAAGAATGCATCAAAAGCTGCAGACTTATTTTTTGCTAGTTATAAAATTTGTTTTTTTAAGACATCATTACTGTCATTTTTGCCAATACGTTGATGACACTAGTTACATTAGAACCGCTGTAAGTATTAAGGAACTGACGTAGCTTTGGGAAGAAGGGTTGAGAAAAGTAGTAAAAATTTTTAATTAAAACGTAGAACACCCATGGTCCAGCTCTGGTTATCCGGATTATCTGAAGATCAAGCAAATTTACCAAACTTATTGTTAATAAAATCATAGCATGTTTTTATATATTTCGTTAAATAAAATAATGTAAAAAATAATACAATGTCAGAATATAAACTTTTACTTCATTAAGTTAATTTAGGCAAATCTTTAAGGCATATATATTGATTTATAATATTTATCAAATATGTTTAAATATTATTTGAAAACCCATGGGTACAAATTTATTGCTATTTACTCCATTAGTCACTGCAAGTATTTATTTTTAAAACAGAATAAACAAACGTGGACATAGGTTTACGTTTTAAGTTTTACTGGTAAAAAGCATTTTGCATCCTTCTTAACATACATAAAATTATTTTATGGTACTGTATAGTCTTTATAATGTACAGTAAAAAAAGGAATTAAAGAAATTCAATTCTATCACATAAATTACAGTAAATTTGTATCTGGTCTATGGAATAATTAAAACCTAACTATCCAAATAGGCTGTAATTCAAATTAAACCGGGTTTTTGGAGGTCTAATGTAGTCTATGGCCCATTTTACTGTTCTAATGTAGTGTATGGTACAAAAGAAATAATAGGGGCCGCCATAGCCATTTTCATATTTCCGTATACTACGTACTCGTATAACACAGTAGATAGGTTCTTAGAGAATGCCATGTGGTGTGAAACCGTGTTGTATGAGACCCAGAGCCAGTATAAAAAGGGGCGTTACGTTCTGAAAATTTATTAAAAACAAATAGTTTTTTTTAATTTACGTAACCAACTTAATTTTTATTAAATATATATATGTATATGCAACACAAAACAAAAATATTATATATTTTAAATTAACGCAACTTTAGTTTAAAAATTTCTTCGCTGTCAGTATAATCAACCGAGAACATTTTTTCGGTAGAATGAGATCGCTTTCACTTTCAGAATTTCTTTCTTCATTTAAAGTTTTGGCATTTTCTTCCCTCTTTAAAAAATCTGAAATTTTACTTTGCTTACTAGTTCTTACTGGGTCAACGTAAATTTCCTTGATTTGAGATAGAGAGTTTTGGAACTCCTTGATTGAGATTTCCTTGATTTGAGATTGAATTTTCGGCTCTTTTCAGCAGAAGGGTCTGCAGTCAAGAAAAATGGTTTGAGATTTTCAACTAAGCTTAGATCTTCTTTTAATTTTTTTTAATGTTAAGTTATTAACTGCACAATCTTCATCAGTGCTAGTGTCCTCAGAATCGATTTGATTTATGGCTTCGGAAACCATTTCCATCAAATCTGCTTCGTCAATTTCTTCTTCCGATAATAAATTGTGAACATCTTCAATAGCCACGTCAACAAAACCTTCGCCTCCGATTGATTTAGCTAGCAAGTTCTATTATTAGAAATTGCTAAATCTACCACCGATTTCATTTTCTGACGATTACCTCACGTTTTCTATTTCAACTGAAGATGGCCATATCTTCTTCTAACATGCATTTAACGTTGATGTTCTTGGTTCTTTCAGAGACAGATACCATGTCGATACAGTGCTGTCCTGTATGTCTTCCAAGATTCCATTACATTAATTGATTTTGAATCGGCTACGTCTAAAATCCACTGTAATGTTCTTATGTAACATATTTTAAAGGTATAACTAATACCTTGATCCAATGGTTGGAGTAACGAAGTAGGTGGTAGGAACAGTATTTTGACGTTGGGATGATTCAAATCTTGTGGGTTACATGGAGCGTTATCTAATAGTAATAGCTCCTTGAAGCTCAAACTTTTCTGCCTTAAATAAGGTTCAAAGTCTGGCACAAAACAATTTAAAAGCTAATCTTTAGCTTCATAATCAACGTCCTAGCAGCTTCACAATCAACCGATGCAGATTCTCCTTGAATTCTTATTCTATGAATTGCAAAAGCTTTTTGAAATTTACGAACCAACCTTTATTTGCCACAAAATCTAGATTGACAGAGGATTCTCCATGTTCTTTAAGGTGCTTGAAAATTTTGAGTGCTTTTTGTTTAATGATATTAACACCCAACAGAATTACTTTTTGACAGCTATCATCAACCCAAATGCTGAGTGCTTTTTCGCTCTTCTCAATTATTGGAGCTCGGGGGCGAACTGCACGGTTTGCGGAGGTCGAATATCCTGCAGCAATTGCACTTTTTATTTCTTTTTCATTTTTCGTAATAGTCCGGACTGTTGCTTCATTCGAATGAAAACTTTTTCCAATGTGAGATGCTTTTTCTCCTTTTAAAAGGTGGTCCAAAATTTGTATCTTTACTTCTAAAGAAATGAATTTCCTCTCAAACGTTGTTTTTTTACCTTTATCGAACACGTTTTGGGACTAAAACTTAATTCTGAAAAATGAAAAAGATATTCATTAACACACCGTAGCTAGACGCAGACTGCCGACCAGCAGCGTGAGATACTTTTGTTTTCAGGCTACGGAGATGAAGAATCGAATTTTGGAAGCCAAATGTATGCGTTGTGCGTTTTAGAGCACTTATTGTGACCTCATGTTGTTCACCTTCTGCGATAATGAGCTTTCTTCATTGTATCTGGTGATTGCGTTCTCTTGAGACATGGATATTGTTTTTGTTGTGCTATTTGGCTTTTAATGTCATGGAAGGAAAAACTATTTTCCTCTTACAGATTACGAATTCAACAGTCGCTCTCCACCATGACTATATGGGTGCTTTGCTCAATATAGAAAATATCCGTGCGGAGTTCGTTAAATTTCTTCACATTGCTTGGGCAATTCCCTTATCGTTTTAGAGAGAAACCGTGTTATAAGAAAACCGTGTTGTCGTAGGTTTCCCGCAATTTAGGAATCTTGTTATAGCGAAACCGTGTTACAGAATGCCGTGTTGTAGGAGGGTTACCTGTATTTAACAAACGGATGTTATTATAGGCCGAAGCTTTAGAATGATATCGTTCCGCATTATAAAACATTGTGAATCTTGTGCAAATTCCGCAACTTTCTTTCTGTCACTTAATTTTTAATCTACATTTTTTTTCTGGGATCCATTAGTGGTCGAGTGGATAAGACCGTTAAAAATCTTGTACTTCGATTTGTTTCGAACCTAGAAAAGTGCACTGGCTACACGAAGATATTCGCGGGTTTTCTCTGTGGTTAAAGTGAATACGAACCAGGTTCCCTTCGGTATTTTCTATGATGACTTCTCTTCTTTTGGATGGATAGTCCTTGAGTAAGCTTTGAGTATTGGTTTAAATAAATGTATTCTTCTAAGACGTAATATTCAACTATAGAAAATGCAAAAATAAATTAACTTAGATGAAAACAAGGCAAGATAAAAAAATTACTTATTTTCATTGAAAATATTTGAAGCATATAAGTGTAAAAGTGCAGATAGAATATCAGTGGAAGTACAAAAAAGTTTTTATGCTTTCAAATTTAATCAAACAGTACATTTTTTATAACATTCTTAAAAATTTTTAAACATTCTTATTTTGCCCAAAACTGTTAATTTACACGTTACTTTTGGAATAAATATTAAACAAATTATGCTAACAAAAATATTTTTTTTAAACTCGATTGAAAAGGGTGTCAAATGCTCGTAACTTATAATGCAAAGAAAAGAAAAGGGGGGGAAGATCGTTTTCATTTCTACACCTATTCTGAAATCAACAATCATCGCCAAGCATTTTTAATGCATAAGTTTATATATATCTCCGAAATTTTTAATTAAAATACTGTTTTTTTTTTAACTATGCCAAGAAGATACCATAAATGGCTTTACAAGTTGTAATTCAAATATAGCTTCCAAACATTTATAATGATTATTTCTAATTGAATTTTTTCAAATAAGTAATAAAAAAACAGCTTGAAATTTACCTGGATCAAATTTGAATATCAAGTCATGGAAAAAGAAAATAAGAAAATTTTGCAAAGGAATAAATAAATCTGAAGGGTTTCAGATTTTAACGGTCCCGCTGACGTTATACGCTCGTTATACGCTGGCGTTATACTCTTGCTGACGTTAGGGTTCGTTATACGCTCTCGCTAATTTTGTAGTTTTTCAATCTGCTCTTGCACTCACTCCTGCGAACCCATTTTTCGTTTTTTTCTTTCCCCCCTTCCTTTATTTTATTTTTATTTTTATTGAATTTACCTTTTGTTTTGTCTTTTTAGCTTTATTATTAAGCATCGTTGTCTTCAACTTATGCTACAGTTACACACACACAACAAAACAAAAACAAAAAAAATCACAAAATTC